CACTGATTGTTTATCAGTGAAAACTTGTATTTTGGTTTTGAATCTGTTCCAGATGGTTTAATCAGAGGTTTCAACCTGTTAAAATGGTTTAATCAGCTGTAAGTTTTGTTGTAAAAACTGGTCAGAACCATGAAGTTGTGGTTTTTCTTCATCATTAAATGTTTTTTTTCTCTCTTTCAGGGCTTTTACAAAGGAGGAAAGTTTGTCTTCAGCTTTAAGGTAAAATTTCTGTTTGAATTTTGGCAGAAATTCTTCCCAGTTAGACAATTAGAACGTTGAGTTCCAGTTTCTGAAATGAAACTGGAACTTATACATTATATATAATTATCACACATAAAGTGAAATATTTCAGCTTTAAGACCAGTCTCAGACCCGGTGACACGGCCCGGTGTTCCGGCCCGGTGATCTGGCCCGGTCTGTGTGTTCCAGGTAGGACAGGGTTACCCCCATGACCCGCCCAAGGTGAAGTGTGAGACGATGGTTTATCACCCCAACATCGACCTGGAGGGAAACGTCTGCTTAAATATTTTAAGGTCAGTTTACAGAACCAGGGCGGACCAGGAGGTTCTGTTGTGTCCAGTCTGTCAGTCATCTTAAGATTAATTTTGTTGAATAAATTGGGTTAAAACTGTCTGAAAGTCCAATTTCCGACCTAAATAAGAAAGCATTCTGACAGAGTTAGATGATGATAGATGTTTGCTCAGTTCTTGTGTTCAGTCAGTAATAAACTGAATTGTTTTCTGTTGTGATGAATGAAGATGTTGCTAACGGCTGTCTCTGCTCCCCGTCCACAGAGAGGACTGGAAGCCGGTTCTGACAATAAACTCCATCATCTACGGTCTACAGTATCTATTTCTAGTGAGTTCAGTCTGGCTAGTGAAAAACATTTCAGTTCCTTTTTGGAAAAAAATAAATAAATAAAGCATTTTATTAGTCCTGTTCAGTCCACTTCTACTCCACTCCAGTCCATCTGCTTAGTAAAAGTCTGGTCAGGTTGGTGAGGTGTGAACGCTAGTCGACCTCTGACCTCTAGTCCTCCAAACCTCAGTCTGGGTTCAGTTGAAGTGAACTCTGGGTCAGTTTGAATCCATCTGTAAACGCCAGAGACCACTCCAAAAGCAGAAAGTGGACTACAGCGCAGGGCATTCTGGGTAAATCCAACCAAAGCTAACATGCTAGCTTAGCGCTAGCAGCAAAAATGGCTCCTGGTTTTCAGCCAAAGATTAAAGAGAAATCCTCCAGCACTAAAATCTGTCGTTTCCATCTGGTGAAACAGGAAGTTGCTCTCAGTGTCTCCAGAGGTTTTAGTGTTGTTTCCTGCAGTGGTTCTTGCTGCAGCGCCCCCACAGGCCAGGAGGGGAAAAGGCTGGTTGGACTCAGAGCCACAGCAGCTGCAGGTGGAGCAGATGTTCTGATTCCTGTAGAACCGGGTCAACTGGACCATCAGGGAGGAAAACAGCCTTAGTCTGTTTTCCCTCCTATTTTGAAGGATGAAAAAAAAATTATTTAGCAGATATTTATCTATTTTTTATTCTTTTTGATCAGCAACTAAATGTAACAATAGCCTAAATGTCATCCTTTGATATTTATTACATCCCAGATTGTGTGCTGATGATCACAGAAAAGTTAGTCTCGCGTAAAGCCAGAGTTTCCCTCGCTGTGTGGTCAGCCTGGTGGGCCCCCAGACTTTTCCTCCCGCCCCGCCAGGCTTTATCTCTTTATTTTAAATTCAAGTGAGGGCAACTTGAAAGGCGTTCTTTCACCCAGAATGCCCTGTGTGGATCATGTTCTTGCAGAGCAGCTTCACCTCTACCAGTCAAACAGTTTGGAAACTGGTTCAGAACCAGAACTAACAGTTTCTGGTTCAGAACCAGAACTAATAGTTTCTGGTTCAGAACCGGTACCAGAACTAACTGTTAGTTTCTGGTTCAGAACCGGAACTAACAGTTTCTGGTTCAGAACCGGAACTAACAGTTTCTGGTTCAGAACCAGAACCAGAACTAACTGTTAGTTTCTGGTTCTGAACCATAACTAACAGTTTCTGGTTCAGAACCGGAACTAACAGTTTCTGGTTCAGAACCAGCACAGTAAGAGCTTCTGCCGAGAAACATTTAGGTTCTGGTTCCAGGTGGTTCTGTTCAGCTCAGCTAATGTTCCTGACCCCATGTGACCTCTGACCCCCAGGAGCCGAACCCGGAGGACCCGCTGAACAAGGAGGCAGCGGAGGTCCTGCAGACGAACCGGCGGCTCTTCGAGCAGAACGTCCACCGCTCGCTGCGAGGCGGCTACGTCGGCGCCACCTACTTCGAGAGATGTCTGAAGTAGCCCCGCCCTGTCCCGTCATCCTCCAAGCTCCTCCCACTTCCTCTCTCCCACTGTCTGCCTGACCCCTCCTTCCTCCTCGGCTCCTCTTCGGTCACCATGACGATGGGAAGCAGCACGACGCAACACGCTTTCCAGTTTTACCACAGAAGAAGAAGCTGCACCTCCCTCTCCTCCTCTTCCTCACCTGTCCCCTCCCGTTCCTCCTCCTCCTCCTCCATTTCTGTTTCACTTCAGCCATGATTCGCCGCAGTGGGGGGGCACCGACACATCGAGCGGACTCTGCTGAGGAGGAGGAGGAAGATGAAGGTGGGGTGCTGAGGATGGACAGATGTGGGGGGAGGGCTGATTGTGAATGTTGCTCTGGTCAACGTCACAACGCCCTTGATAATGATGCTCACCAGATTGTTTTCCTGTTTTTATTTTGCGTGCGTGGCGAAGACGCCTGACATCACACAGGCGTTCTGTAGGACACGCCCCTTCCTGTCACCGCCTTCATTCATTGGCTACAGATCAGAGAGAAAGCAGCAAACTCCAAACAGCATCCTGCAGGAAGTCTAGCAAAGGGGGCGTGGCTTCTCACTTCTTTCCTGCAGAAAGTCTCTGATTGGATGGCTTCCCAAAGGGGTGGAGCTTCTCTCTTTGATCCTACCAAGTCTAACGGGGCGGAGCTTTGTCCTAATGTTTTTGCACAAAGTTTATAAATGAGGTGGAGCTTTTCATGCAGGAAGTTTAAAAGATGGGCAGAGCTTTTCGTTTCGATCTGGAATTTATTCACTTGTTTTCATCCAGGAAGTCTCTGATTGGATGATTTTGTCTTCTTAAAGGGGACAGAGCTTGTTTCTTTGTTCCACAGGAAGTCTTGCAGAGGGGCGGGGCTTCTCACAAGCCTCAGGGTAGATCTTGGATTGAAAGGTTCTTAAAAGTGGGCGGAGCTTTGTCCTAACATTTTTGCACAAAGTTTGAAAAAGGGGCGGAGCTTTTCTGAGTTCCTGCAGGAAGTGTTCCAGATGGGTGGAGCTTTTTGCGTTCTTAAAGTAGGCGGTGCTTCTCACTACGCTCTTGCAGGAAGAGTAGCAGAGGGGCGGAGCTTCTAAATCAGAGGGAACAGATTCGCCTTAATTTTTTTCTTAAATAATTTTATTTTTTTTTAGCTTGCAGTGGCCACAACGCCCCCTGTTGGGGTGCTGTGGAAGGTCAGGGTCTGAATAAAGGGGAGGAGCTAGTTTTAATGGGCGGGTCTAGGACATTTGGCAGGTGGGAGGGGCTAACTCTTGATGGAGGAACATGCCTTAAAGTCTTTGTAGCTGTTGATTGGCAGGTCGATTGGCATGGGCGGGGCTTATTCCTGCAGGACCCAGCTGATAGGACAAGATGGAGTCTGTTTGGAGTTTGCTGCTCAATAAATCCCATGAAATGTTGGTGGGCGGGGCCTAGTATGATGTGGGCGGGGCATATCTTAGTGGGGGTGCTTGTTTGACTGAGTGGGGTGTGGGTGGGCTTTTGATTTTTATTTTGGGGTGGGTTTTGGGGGGACGGGCTTGAAATGTTATGATTCTATTGTGTAAATTGAAACCCCAGCTGTTCACTTTGACTGCAATATGATTTATGTTAAATAAAATATGAATGATGAGAAAACTGTTGACCTCTGGCTTCGGATGACACCAACGCAAAGACCAGGAGTCGCCTCGACGCTGAAACAAGCGCGTGAATTCACACTCAATTACTTTGTAAATTAAATATTAGAGTGAATCTGAAGTTTACATCCACCGTTAAATCAGACCAAACTTCTCTAGGTTCAGGTCAAAATTAATGAAATATTTTCAATTTCCTAAAACCCTAAATGATGATTAAAAACTGACAGATTTATGATTTATGTTTACATGCATCTCAGTTCAGGAGTTCTCATCCATTGCTGATATAACCAGTGGAACTGGGTCAGGTTCTTAATCAATCAATGTTGTGCAGCACTCTGCATCCTCCTGGAGCAAAACATGCCCACAGCATGATGCTGCCACCCCCATACTTCAGTTAGGATGGTGGTGTCCAAATAGTCTCTTTAGGCTCCAGAAACGGCTTTTGTCCCCTTTGAGCTTCTTCCTTGCTGAGCCTTTCAGCCCGTTGATAGGACAGTTTGACCGTGTAATTCTGGCTTCCGCCTGCAGGGGGCAGTGTTTGGTCTCAAATCAACGTGTGAAGCAGGTTTCATCAATGGTGCAGTTTAAAATGTTTTTACATGATAAAAACTAAAGAGAAGCAATAGAAATGTAATTCAGACTAGAATGAATCTATAATCCAGTTATTAACCAAACCGGCTCTAAACGGTTTAGTCTGAATTTGAAGGAACTTTCTGGAAGTTTGTTCCCAATCTGTGGTGCATAGAAAGTGCATCTGCTTCTCCATATTTGGTTCTGGTTCTGAAGCAGAGCAGAACTAGGGCCTGAGCAGTCTGAAGGTCGAGCTTTGATTGATAAACTAAAATATTTGAAAGTTTGTTCTCTGAGCCACAGGGAAATCCTTCCAACATTTTCCAACTCAGATCTACTGTAAGAAGTGCTTCCACATGCAAATAACGACAAAATCAAATCAATTCATTAACCAAACGAGAACTCTGAAACCGCTGATTGTTCTCTATGTTATAAAGACATATTGTACACTGCCACAGGTTTTTTTCTCCCATATTTTATTATTAAAGTAGGAAAAACTCCACATTTTCACCATAATATCATCCAAGTATTTCCATTAGTATCTTAAGATCTTCACAGATTGGCTTCATAAACCACAAACTGTGCCTCTGGATCAGGGCCGTCTAACTCCAGTCCTTAGGGCCGCTGGCCATCCTGCAGGTTTTAGATGAGCAACAGGTACAAACCACTGGAATGAAACGGCTTCATTACCTCCGTAATGTGTGGATCGGATCTCCAGAACCTTAATGAACTCATTCTGCTGTTCAGAATGAGTTCTGAACAGCAGAACTGTTTAGATGAGCAGAGGCTCATCTAAAACTTGCAGGACACTAAACCCTCCAGGATTGGAGTTTGACGCCTCTGCATGGTAACTATGTACAGAACTCATTTTAACTTATAGCTCACTACATCCAATATATTATTCCATAATCGTCTTAAAGAAGGAAAAGGCTCCTCTATCTGAGGATCCTGTCCAGTTCATCTGCAGCAAACCTCCACGTTCTGCAGGAGCTCCACCTCTTCCTTCCCCCCTCCCTAAAGTCTGAGCCTGATTCTGGTCCAGGCCCGGTTCCGTCAGGCGGGGTGTTGCTGGGCGGTGGCCAGGATCAGAGGAACCTCCTTGTCTCCGGTGCCGAGCAGAGGAAACATTCTCTCGGTGAACTCCGTGTTTGTGTGGAAGCCGTAAATCTCTGTTCCTGACTTGACGTTGTAGAAGGAGACCTGACCCTCCTCCACGTCCAGGAAGATGCCCACCTGTCGCAGCTTCGGGTGGTGACCTTTCACCTGCAGGGCGGAGACAGAGAGCAGCCAGTGGCAGTGTGACTTTCTGCCGTCAGCTTTCAAACATTCATTCTCAGTTGGATTCAGGCATTTAAAGGACGTCGTTTGTAAAGTTCCAGTCAAATATTACAGCAATATTTGAGTTTGCTCGCCTGTCATAAGAGGAGAATTCAAATTTCAAAGTCATATTTTCACCACTCATTTATAGACATCAGTGTCAAGCCACATGTTTAATTAGCAAGTTAAATATTTACTCATCATTTTCCTTCAAGGTAAATATTTAATTTCCAGACCATATTTCGAGTAGAAGCTAAACATTTAGCTTTCTAACTAATTTTTGACTGTTTAACTTCAGAAATGGAACCATCATAGACCTTGGTCAGAGGAGGTGTAGTGAGCGCCCTCAGCTGGCTGCCGCACCACCAGATGGCGTAGTATCCGTTTGTGGGACTCATGTCAAACAGGCCTTTCCTCTGGGCCGACTCACTGACCACACCCAGTTTCCAGTCCTTGTTCTCCCCAACAGAAACCTGCAAGACAGACAGCAGGGTCTATTAAAGCAAGCTCTGGTTCTGTTCACCAACCCTGTGAAGAAACCTCGACACTCAACCAGGTCCTGATCCTTGGTCTCCCATCAGCAAACATCAAATCCAGAGATTCCTGCCCATGACCTTGAGTCCAAATTTTAAAAAAACCCTGAAAGAGACTCGTGTCCTCAACCAGATGTCCACAACTTCAGCAGACTGAGGAGTCCTCTACAAACCCAGACTTACAAACAGAAGCATCAGAAGACGCCTCTCGTCCTCACCGAGAGCTGGCCTGGCGAAACACTCTAACCAGCACCAACATCTCACATTATTTTTTTTATTTATTTATTTTTACTGGTAAAGTTGCATCTTTATTCTGCTAATATTTTATTATTATTATTATTACATTTTTCATACATAGATTATCAAATTCTCACCCATCCCTCAGGCTCCCAGATCGGCACATCATAAAGCACTTTCAAAGTCAGAACAACATAAGTATCACAAAGTGAATACAAGCCCTGGCAGGTCTGTCATTAACTATTTTCCATTGAAGGGATTTTAATACAGGATTCCATATTTTCTCAAACACACTGACTTTATCTTCATTGTGATATCTCAGTCTTTCCAGATGCAGAGTATTTGCTAGTTCCCCCAACCAGAGATCAAATGTGGGCACAGAGTCCTTTGGCAATCACCGTACCAAACAAACAGCTGTTTTCTCCTGCTTAGTGGCTGGAGACCCCAATGATTGCAATCAGTGGTTCTGGGTCCCATTTCTTTCCAAAAGCTGTTGAAAAAAATGAAAAATGCTCTTCCAAAATGAGTGAAGTTGAACACATGACCAGAAGGAGTGTGCCAAGATCTCACATTATTTAAGAGCCCAACCCTTGACCTCCAACAAGGGTCAAGGGTTGTTGGAGGTCAAGGACCTCAACAGGGTAAGATGGGAGCCTTGTTGAAGATCTTAACCTTCAACAAGGCTCCCATCCTCAACCAGATCAATGCAGAACTAGAACAGACTCAAATGATTGTTTCTTTGATCAAATCCTGACCTCTAAGAAGAGACAGACCAAACAGAAGAGCGTCACCCTCATCTTGGCCACCTGTTAATCCACATCCTGATCCCATTCAGATTTAACACCTGACCAGGATCCCCTACAAAGTCAGATTCATAAACATTGAGATCCTGACCTTCCCCTGAAGGACAACACCATCAGATCTTGACCATTGACAAGAATCACCTTCAACCGGCAACAGTTCAGTACAAAGCAACTCCAGAAAACTCTGGCTTTCTTGATCTACCATCCATGACTAGAGCTGGGCTACCAAAGAGTCAACATCCTGAAAGTCCCAATCTGCTCCAACACTCGATTTTTTTACCATTCGGTGCTACCCACGCCAAGGTCCTGGTAAAGGATCTCAGCCCCATTGTTGAGATCAGCAGTCTGAACCAACAGCGTGTTCCTCAGCCGAATCTCCAGTGGTCCAGGCCCTCTCACCTTCTTTAAACAAGATTCTTACTCTGTGGTACGGTCAGTGTTTGAGAAGATCTCATGCGAATACTGGCCTCAGAGAGATTTCCGCCACCAGCAGGATTTTCGCTGGACAGACGCAGTTAAACCCAAACACCTAACATGATGCCATCAGTACCAGTACAAAACAACCCCCAATCAATGGACTGTGCTGTGACTAACTGTAATGTACCATTGTCCTTTGGACCTACAACTAAAGGGAGCCCAGAAACGGCAGACAGCCATTTCTGGGCTATTTTGTCTGAAAACAGACAAAATAGCGTACCAAACTGTGCCACACCCGTCAATGGAAATGAAGAACTCAACATCTGACCATGAGGTCATGGTCAGCAACAACTAAACCAGTAAAATGAAGGTAAGCGCCACTCTGATGCCAAACAAAACAAGATCCTGACTAACCTCCCAGTAGTGACGCCCAGAGCTAAACCCTTCCTTGGCGATGACACAAGACCAGACGTCAAATCGGTGATGGCTGTTTCTGAAAAACTGCAGCTTCTCTCCTCTCTTCAGTTGCTTCCTGTCTTCTGACAGGATCAGGAACGGGTACGCCGTCACCGGGTTCAGTGTCACATCCTCTGAAGAAGCACAGGAAGATATGTGGAAATACATTCAGGTCTCGGCTGGATGTCAGAGGTCATGACAGACTGAGCAGAAAGGAACAGTTCTGTTTCGGAGAACATCTTTCAGCCAATAAGATCAGACAGAGGTCAATGATCTGAGGTACATCTCACCTATGTAAGCCCGGGCTTTCTTCAGTCCTAAAAGAGAACAAAGAAGAACACTGAGAATGCAGAAATGACCTTCCTTTATTCTCCACAGCACTGCTTGGAGCGCCGGATGATTTGGTGACCAAAACAAAACAACTGCAGAAGACATTTTGAGCGTCAACTGCTGATCTGGTCAGTTTGTCTCTTGAAATAGAAGAGCTTGAGGAGTTTCAGGTCCAGCTGATCTGGTGGTAGAACAGTCGTCTTCTCCATTGCCATGCAGCAAGAAGGTCCTGGGTTTGACTCCCAACCAGAGCCTCATCCAGGTCTAGATGTAAAACCCCTGGAGGTCTGCATGGCTGATAAATGTAAAACTGTTGAATCTACATACCTGTAACATGCTTGCTCTTCTTTGTGTCTGAAGGGAAACAGAACAAAAGTGAAACATCTCCAGTAATATAAGAACTTTATTTGTCCAACCACTGCAGGAAGGTCAGGCCTGACCCTGAGCCATGACCCCGGTCTCGGGTCTCACCTTTCAGAGACCACTGACTCATTCTCAGAGTCGACTTGCTTCCTCTCAGGCTCATCATGCTCTCGGCCGCCATCAGCTCACCTGGGGGAACTGGAAAGAGATCGTTCAGACTCTGACCTCTGACCTGGAGGCCCATTCTTCATGAATGTTTGACTTACAGGAATCTTTTGAGTCTCTGGAGCCTCTAGAACCTCTGGAGGCCCTCGGGTGGGTCTCTCCCATCCAGATTTCGTCTACCTTGATCTTGACGTCGGACAGACTGCTCTTCACGTCATCCAGGTGGAAGTGAAGGGACAACTCGGCCTCTTCATCATCGTCATGGTGTTTCCTTTCATCCAGCGGAGCCGTGGCCTCCTCAAAGCTCTGAGACGAGGGGAAGAAGAGAAGAAAGTGAAGAAGTCTTCTACTTGTGACGCCTCCAACAGCGGCCGGTCAGCTGTTACCTGTAGGAAGCTGATGTGATCCTGACTGATGGCCTGGACCTCCAGCGTGGCCCTTCTGTCGGTCAGCTGGCTAAGCTCCGCCTCCAGGCGGTGCACCATGGCCTCCCCCTTCGACGTCACAGCCTCCAGCTGGCTTTGGATCCCACCCACCACTTGAGTCCGGATCCGGACCAGCGAGGCAGACACTTCATCCAGAAGGTGCTCGACATCGCCTCGCTCTTTGTCTGCGTAGTTCTGAGACCAAAGCACACAGAACCTTTTCACTGACCGAACTTCACCAGCAAGTTCTGGTCCAGAGTCACCAGCAAAGACCTTCAGAAAGCCTGAAGAACTGCTGCTGCTGTTCAGCATGTTACCGTAAATGTTAGAGATTTTTTGATATTATCAATTTGTTAAAGTGTTCTCTTTCTTATGTGTGTATGGGCTGACCTGGAGGTTACGACTGTCTTCATGCGAGGTAGTAAAACTTTATGGTTCTCAGACCTTCTTCTCTGGTGTTTATCTACCCAGTCTTAGGTGACAGTTTGACCCAGAGCTGAACTGGGCTCAGATTGTAAATTAGATATCACACCTGGAACTGAGTTGTTGGTCTGTTTGTGTTAAATGTTTTACGACGTCTGTTGTTTGATGTTCTTTGACAATAAAGAGGGAGCTCACGTGAAAGCAGATCAGAACTCTATTGAGCAGCTCGGAGGAGCTGTTGATCGGGATTTCTCCTTCTGCAGAAGCCTGACCATATTTAATTCATATACGTTGTCTGTGGTTATTTTATTGTAGGTTCGAGGAAAATACCTAACAGTAAATATCTCTCAATGCAGATAGTAGCATAAACATTAGCATGCTCCCATTAGCCTCTTGAATTTCAGGATGATGGCCATTTTCCAAGATGGCTGCTATTTTTGAGACTTTTAAACCAATTATTGTGACAAAATGTTCCCCATGTTTATGACTCAGATGAACTTTGCTGCAACAGATATTTTCAACTTTCTTCAATGTATCCATTGAAAATAACATGCAAGAAAATCACAAACTGAACTTTGCTGTTAACAAGTCTCAAACCATTGGCTAACAGGAAGGAGATAAAAACGTAACACAGACATAGATACTCGCCTTAACAGATAACGTTAGCTTCAACCATTTAGCAGCATAGCATTAGCTTAAACCAATTCTTCATGTGTTTAGCAATCCAGCGTTAGCTTCTGTTAATTTTTTGTGTTTAGTGGGAGCAGAGCTAAGATTTTTAATTCCTGAATTAGTGAAACAAACTTTCTGGTTAGCTGGTTAGCTGCTGGCTAAACCTACTGAAGATGTTAGTGCAAACAAATTCTCCAGAGCAACCATTTTGAAAATGTCCTCCAGAAAAAGAAAATAAATCTTATTCTTATGGTCTCTGACTGACACCAAACACTTTCATCCATCTGTTAATTTTAGTGCAAAGATTCCATGACAGCCACGGAGGCCATCTTGGAAAATGGCTGCCATATTAAATTTTGGCATGCAGTTCTTGAATTATCTTCTGCACTATGGGAGAGTCCAACTGCTTGATGGGAACCATGGAGAATGGAGGAATGGACCAGAACCATTAGAGCTGAAGAAACCGGACCTGCACAGATTCCAGCTTCCTCTTCAGGTCGCTCAGACGGATCTCCTTCTCTTTGATGCGGTTCAGGATCTCCTGCTCCGACCTCGCCACCAGTTTCTGAACACAAACACTGACTTGATGAAGAGCCTGCAGAGCGAGTCGGACTCGAGCAGGATGCAGGTTCTGTCCTCCGTACCTGTTTGCTGAGTCTCTCAGTCTGGACGGAGACAGTTTTGTGAGTGCGATGATTCTGCAGGACACAGATGGCGCAGATGCAATGCTGACATGTCTTACAGTAGACCTGGAGACAAAGAAACGATGTGAGGTTGAGCGTCCACCGGTCTCCACCCAAAGACATTCAGCAGGACAACCTGGAGACAAGACACTGCAGACAGAACCGAACAGCTGGTGAAGGAAAGTGAACATTGAGGAGAAACAAATTACCGTTACAGGAATCAGTTTATCCGCTCCTGGTGGCTATGCTAACTAGCCTTAGCATTAATGCTAGCAGCAGCTTGGTAGAATGATTTAAAAATTTTTACATAAAAGTTCTCTTCAGCTTGAACTTATTGAAGCTAAAATGATCCACTTCTGCATTTTACGATGGAACACTTCCTGGCTACAAAGTGTGGAAACAGGAGATTCATTCTGCCCAGCAGACCAGTATGAACCCAGTATGAACCCAGTATGAATCCAGTGTGAATCCAGTATGAACCCAGTATGAACCCAGTATGAACCCAGTGTGAACCCAGTATGAACCCAGTATGAACCCAGTGTGAATCCAGTATGAACCCAGTGTGAACCCAGTATGAACCCAGCATGAACCCAGAATGAACCCAGTATGAACCCAGTATGAATCCAGTGTGAACCCAGTATGAACCCAGTATGAACCCAGTATGAACCCAGTATGAATCCAGTGTGAATCCAGTATGAACCCAGTATGAACCCAGTATGAACCCAGTATGAATCCAGTGTGAATCCAGTATGAACCCAGTATGAACCCAGTATGAACCCAGTATGAATCCAGTGTGAATCCAGTATGAACCCAGTATGAACCCAGTGTGAACCCAGTATGAACCCAGTGTGAACCCAGTGTGAACCCAGCGTGAACCCAGAATGAACCCAGTATGAACCCAGTGTGAATCCAGTGTGAATCCAGTGTGAACCCAGTATGAACCCAGCGTGAATCCAGTGTGAATCCAGTATGAATCCAGTGTGAACCCAGTATGAACCCAGTATGAACCCAGTATGAACCCAGTGTGAACCCAGTATGAACCCAGCGTGAATCCAGTGTGAATCCAGTATGAATCCAGTGTGAACCCAGTATGAATCCAGTGTGAACCCAGTATGAACCCAGCGTGAATCCAGTGTGAATCCAGTATGAATCCAGTGTGAACCCAGTATGAATCCAGTGTGAACCCAGTATGAACCCAGTGTGAACCCAGAATGAACCCAGTATGAACCCAGTATGAACCCAGTATGAACCCAGTATGAATCCAGTATGAATCCAGTGTGAACCCAGTATGAACCCAGTATGAACCCAGTATGAATCCAGTGTGAATCCAGTATGAATCCAGTGTGAACCCAGTATGAACCCAGTATGAATCCAGTATGAATCCAGTATGAACCCAGTATGAATCCAGTATGAATCCAGTGTGAACCCAGTGTGAATCCAGTGTGAATCCAGTATGAATCCAGTGTGAACCCAGTATGAAATCCAGTATGAATCCAGTGAACCCAGTGTGAATCCAGTGTGAATCCAGTATGAATCCAGTATGAACCCAGTATGAATCCAGTATGAATCCAGTGTGAACCCAGTGTGAATCCAGTGTGAATCCAGTATGAATCCAGTGTGAACCCAGTGTGAATCCAGTGTGAATCCAGTATGAATCCAGTGTGAACCCAGTATGAACCCAGTATGAACCCAGTATGAACCCAGTATGAACCCAGCGTGAACCCAGAATGAACCCAGTATGAACCCAGCGTGAACCCAGTGTGAACCCAGTGTGAATCCAGTGTGAACCCAGTATGAACCCAGCGTGAGCCAGTGTGAATCCAGTGTGAATCCAGTATGAATCCAGTGTGAACCCAGTATGAACCCAGTGTGAACCCAGAATGAACCCAGTATGAACCCAGCGTGAACCCAGTGTGAATCCAGTATGAATCCAGTGTGAACCCAGTATGAACCCAGTATGAACCCAGCGTGAGCCCAGTGTGAATCCAGTGTGAATCCAGTATGAATCCAGTGAACCAGTATGAACCCAGTGTGAACCCAGAATGAACCCAGTATGAACCCAGCGTGAACCCAGTGTGAATCCAGTGTGAACCCAGTATGAACCCAGTATGAACCCAGTATGAACCCAGCGTGAACCCAGTGTGAATCCAGTGTGAATCCAGTATGAATCCAGTATGAACCCAGTATGAACCCAGAATGAACCCATGATGAACCCAGTATGAACCCAGCGTGAACCAGAATGAACCCAGTATGAACCCAGCGTGAACCCAGTGTGAATCCAGTGTGAATCCAGTATGAATCCAGTATGAACCCAGTATGAACCCAGAATGAACCCAGTGTGAACCCAGTGTGAACCCAGAGTGAACACAGTGTGAATCTAACAGGTCTGAGTATCTGGATCGCCCTGGTCCTGAAGGTTAGGTTGTGCTGCTTGCCTCCATCAGGCGGCGGTGTGTGGAGCAGGTGCGGCCCCTGAGGGCCTCCTGGGGGTCCAGCAGCTGGTGCTTTTCGTAGAAGGTGGTGTTGTAGTGCGGCTGCAGGTGTTCGCTGCAGTAGGAGGCGGTGCAGGTGAGGCAGGAGCTGATGGCCGGCTGCTTCACCCCAGAGCAGACGTCACACCACACCACGTCCTCTGGGGCCGCCGGCACCCGGAGCGGCGACAGGAACGGGTTGGTGCTCCGGCCGTCCTCCATAGCGTGCAGGGAGCCGTTCCCCTCCGGCGCCGAGAACCCCGTGGCGCCGTACCGCGTCTGCTTGAATTTATTGGCTATCAGGGCAAAGACCCTGTTGATGCTGAGCTGGGGGCGCTCGTCAAACTGCCGCTTACACAGAGGACAGGTGCAAACCGAACTGGACGCCCAGTACCCGCCGATGCACGCCTGCAGGGACACAGAGGTGAAAGGTCAGTCAGACAGCAGCGCCCCGACGGCATCAGGAGGGCGGTACCTGGCAGAAGTTGTGTCCGCAGGGCGTAGAAACCGGGTCAGTGAACAGGTCCAGGCAGATGGAGCAGGTCAGCTCCTGCTCCGAGAAAAGTTCCGGTGCCTCTGCCATCTGTAAGGAGCCGCTGGACAGAACCGGGCTGTGGAGGAGAAACCCGGTACCAGAACTCGCTCTGGTCCAGAACTGGTCCAGAGCTGGTCCTGAACTGGTCCAGAACTGGTCCAGAACTGGTCCTGAACTGGTCCAGAACTGGTGCAGAAATGGTCCAGAACTGGTGCAGAACTGGTCCAGAACTGGTCCAGAGCTGGTCCAGAACTGGTTCAGAACTGGTCCAGAACTGGTCTAGAACTGGTCCCGAACTGGTCCCGAACTGGTCCCCAACTGGTCCAGAACTGGTTCAGAACTGGTCCAGAGCTGGTCCAGAGCTGGTCCAGAACTGGTTCAGAACTGGTGCAGAGCTGGTCCAGAGCTGGTCCAGAGCTGGTGCAGAACTGGTGCAGAGTTCAGATTATTATTTAGCTCTTGTACTGTAGAGCTAAATTATTTCAGGTTGTTTTTTATTTCTACTCTGTAACAGAATATGACTCACTACATGTAAATACTTCTTGACTTTATTTAAATGCGGCTCTGAAGCGGAACCTGGTCCAACTCGTCTGACCTGCAGGAGGCAGAAAAGGGAACAAAAACTCAACGTGACGTCATTTCCTCCCGTAAACCTGGGAGTCCACTGACAGGTGGACCGGGTCCGTCACACCTGGACCCGACCTGAAGCTGCTGCAGCTCCTTCTGTCCGAGACAAACAGAACAGAACCTCCGGAACCAGAATCACCTGGATCAGCAGCTTCTACCTGCTGCCTACCAGCAGCTCACCTGGACAACAGGTGCTGAAGCTTGTGGACTTGATTTTAACCAGCAGGCGTCAGAAATGAGGTTGATTCAGAACCAGGCTGCTGAGCAGAACCCTCGTTTTCAAAAGCCAAACATCTGAATGGTTTCTAATTTCACTGAAATTAAACAGGCTGACCGGAAACAGCGAACAAACTTTACATTTAATCACTTTAACTGAAACTGATCCTTACCTTCTCCGCCGCCACTCGTCCAGTTTCTGCCTCAAACCCTGAAAGTCAGGTCTGTGACGTCATCGGGAGGCGGGGCTAGCAGAAAGTGGCCAGGTGAGTCTGCGGGTGGAGACACCTGCTGCACCTGTTCCAGTCACAGATCATTTCCAACCTGCTGGTTTTATTCCTGCTGTTTGGAAAACCAGAAGGTTTAATAACGGAAAAGTATTAGAAGAATATTAGTAAATCTAATTTACATTTTAAAAACCAATACAAGGAAAGTGACTTAGAAAGATAAGTAGTGTTCCATAATAATAATAATGATAATAATAAAACTAGCATGAAATCAAAATAAAATAAACTGAGATTAACATAAACAAAAAATTAGTAAAATAAAAAGTAGAAATTAAAATTAACCCCAAAAAATTTAAGTAAAAGGAAATTTAAAAAAAGTAAAGTCAATTAATAAATTAAGAAGTAAATTGAGCTTTCTTAATATCTAAATATACTTTCAGTGGCAGGACAACATTTACACAACTAAACTAATAAACACATAAACTTGCAACAGTTTGAAAAGGGCACCTGACCTTTGACCCGTGCTGATGCCTTGCTGGAGGGCAGCGCTGCGACGCGACCGGACGCGCAGCATTCCTGCGGCAGCGCTCTGAGCATGCTCACTGCAGTTTCTCTGACGTCACAGGCTGCCAGCTCATCGTCATGGCAACCGGTGATGTCAGCGCCTGCGTTGACCTGAGAGCGTCTACAACCCGTCCAGAACCAAAACTGCAGAGCTGAGGTCAGAGGTCAGCACCGGTTCCAATCCGGTCCATCTTCATATTCTGTTGGAGACTAAGGAACAGAACCAGACTCGATGGTTTTATATTTCCATTTTATTGTGTGAATTTATTTTTGATAATTTTTGAAAACATTTGGGATCCTGGAGTCGCAGAACGTTTCTTCAGACGTTTGTTTCCTGCTGCAGAACTTCAACAGCTCAGATTCTGGTTGTGGATTATTAATGTAGATATGTGGAGATTTTAATGTCCAATTCACTGAAACTCCTCTTTCTTCTCCTACTACTCTCCTTTCAGTAAATTAAAGAAATAAAACCCACTGGTCAGTTTAAAATAAGCTTCAATCAGCTGCTAAATATGTTTCATTCAGAACATATGAGTGTTTTGAAATGCTTTATTGATGTAATATTCGAATTTTAAATGTTTTTTTAACAACTGGAAGTAGAAAATCATAAAAATGAAGAAATAAATTGACATAATTAATCTATAGCAGGGTGGAGACCCCGGGTCCTCTGGAGCCGCTGTCCTGCAACTCTTGGACGTCTCCCTGGTCCAACACACCTGAATCAGCTCCTAAATGCAGTCCGGTTCTGCTAATGACCTCATTATTGGACTCAGGTGTGTTGAAGTAGAGATACGTCTAAAAGTTGCAGGAGGCCCCGGAGGCCCCGGGGAGCCCCGGAGAGCCCGGAGAGCCCCGGAGAGCCCCGGAGGCCCCGGAGAGCCCGGAGAGCCCCGGAGAGCCCCGGAGAGCCCCGGAGAGCCCGGAGAGCCCGGAGAGCCCCGGAGAGCCCCGGAGAGCCCCGGAGAGCCCCGGAGAGCCCGGAGAGCCCGGAGAGCCCCGGAGAGCCCGGAGAGCCCCGGAGAGCCCCGGAGGCCCCGGAGGCCCCGGAGAGCCCCGGAGAGCCCGGAGAGCCCCGGAGAGCCTTTTCTTCTGGTGAATAAATTGGTGTTTCAGTCATGTTGCCTCTGCTGGTTGCTCCTGTCCACTGTCGCCGCGTGCTTGCTCTGGAACGCTGCCGTTTCATCAACGTCACATTTTAGGTTAATGTTCTGCAATCGGATCAAAATCAACTGCAGATCAAATCTTCATCTTTTCCAGAAAGAGGTCGTGAGGTCAGAGGTCACAGATGATCTCGGACAACCGATCAGGAGAAATCGTGTCATTCTGAGAAAATCCAAGATTTCCTGATCTAAAGTTAAAATTCTGATTAAATAATTGAAGTTTAAACATCAGGAGAAAAAACTTCAGAATAAAACAAAATGGGTCGACTTGGTTCTGCTGAAAAGCCTTTTATAAATCCAAACAGAAAAACCAGTCGCAGAGTTCTGTTGGACCGACTGACCCAAACCCAGCTGGCTTCGGGTGCTCAGCCTGGTACTGGCTGGGTTCTGGTTCTGGTCCGGTTCCGGGTCTGGTCCAGAGTCTCTTCAGAAGTCCTTGTAGTGCAGCAACCTGAACACAAACACAGACCCAGAGGAAGTGGCTGTTTGTGAGCATAAAGTTGATGGTGAACTTAATGCCAATAAAACCTGTTTGCTGGTTTTATTCTCCTCTGTGTTTAACAGGAAGGAGATTCTGATAAAGGATCAGCGCTACATCTACAGACTCTTATGTTTAACGCCTGGATATTCACATCTTCCTGTGGTTTTGTCATGGACATAAATTGTTCAATGCTAAGCTAAGTATAGCTTCCATTCAGTCACTCAAAGAATCCAATATATTGAACAAGCCGCTGCTGTTTGTAAACATGGCGGCAGCAGTTTTAGACGGGTAGCACGGACAGATAGACCTAGCTGTCTATCCGTGCTACGGTAGGACAATCTGACGAGGTAGCACAGATGGTCAGAACACCGGCTGCCTGGAGTTTAATCTTCGAGTTTAGTCACCACAGAGCTTTTAAATCCCACATTAGGTTCCGGTTTGGCGGGTGTCCTCACTGTCATCTCCATGGTGCTGCAGAAGCTCCGGCTGCACAGGAAATGCTTCAGATATTCACCGTTTGAAACCAGAAGAGCTGATTGGCTGGCTGACCTGAACAGGGGGGCGTGTCCTTTGTTGTTGGCCAATGAGAAGAAGCCGCTGCGTGGCGAGAAGTCCAGGCAGCTGACCCGGTGAGCGACCTTCCTGCTGGCCACGGGGAAATTGGAGAAGACGGTGAGGCTGGACAGGTGGACCTGGGCGGAGACAGGTGGAGGTTAGCAACCAGCGGCGTCACGGCAACCGGCGTCACGGCAACCGGCGCTCACCAGCCGCACGGCCTCGTCTTCCGCCCGCGAGGCGACGGCCAGGATCTCAGAGGTGGGGTTAAAGGTCAGAGACGTGGCGGAGGTCAGCAGGTTCATCACTGCTCTGAGAGGCTTCGGGCTGGTTGAATTAAGACACGCCTCCTGGGAGTAGACGTTGACCACGCCCGCCTGGGAGCTGAGGAGAGGAGGATCACGTGACCCGACGGTCTGCATACTACAATCTGCTCTCAGCCAATCGGAGAGCCGGTCTGTGAGTGGGCGTGGCTTACCCGCAGGCCAGGTAGCGCCCGTCCGGCGAGGCGGCGATGGCCGTCCCCTTTACGCAGCCGTCATCCATGAAGCGGCTGAGGCACCGACTGCTGCGAACGTCCCACACAAACACCTCGCCTTCCTCTGCACCGGGGCGATGACATCACAAGGTCACATGATCCACAGGGGGCGATGACATCACACAGAGTCACACACTCACCTGAGTTCACAAAGGCTTTGCTACCGTCGGGACAGAAAGCCACGCCGCTGACATCACCGTTGATCTTCATGCTGCGGACGATCTCATTGGTCTAGACGGAGAGGAGAAGAAGAAGAACCTGAGCTGATTAGTCACTGGCAGAAGAAGAAGAACCAGCAGCAGAAGAAGAACCTGCAGCGTGAGCATGTGCAGATATCCGTTGGTCCCGGTTAGCAGCAGAGCGCCCCCATCAGGGCACACAGAGAAGTCCTTCACTCTGGCTTCACTCAGACCTAAACCGACACAGAGAAGCTTTTATTGTGAAAGGTCAGCCTCAGCGGCGGGCCTGAGCGGCGGCGGGGGACTGGGCCTGAGCGGCGGCGGGGGGACTGGGCCTGAGCGGCGGCGGGGGACTGACCCCTGACGGAGCGGACCGGCACCACGCGGTCCTCCATCATGTCGTACAGGTAGAACATCTTGTTCCTCAGGCTGGTGGCGATCACCGACCGCCCGTCCCGGCTGAACCGGGCCTGGTGGACCGGGAACCGCTCCAGGTGCACGCTCTGGATCTTCGGGTTCGTCTTCCCGTCCACCTGCAGACGAGCCGGGTTAGACTCGCACGGCGACCTCTGACCCCCGAGCCGCAGGAGGCGGGCCGTACCTGGAAGAGGGAGACGGACTGGTCGAGTCCCGCCGTCATGACGACCTGCGCCGACGGGTGGAACTGGACTGTGGTGAGCCGGTCCGCCGAGGGGCGTGCGCTGTTGGCATGGAGACACTTCTTCATCTGGAGACACAGAACCGGGACCAGAATCAGAACCAGCAGGTCGGGCCGTCGGTTCAGGCCTCGGCAGAAACGTTCAGACTCACCCTCAAGACGCCGCTGGGAAGACTCTCTGAAGACGCCACAAAGTTCCCCGTCCTCCTGAGAAGGTCGTCCTCTTCTTCCTCCTCCTCCTCCTCTTCCTCTTCATCAAGAGCTGCAGGATCACACAGAGTCAAAACCAGAACCGGAACCAGGACGCTCATATGGATTCACCTTTCTTCTTCTTCTTCTTCTGGTCGCGGCTCTGCGCCCAGGATGGAGTTCCTCCCATCGACTTCTCAAACCTGAAAACAAAATTCATTTTTATTTACAACTCTTGGATGGAGAATCATAAAGAGTCTCAGAAGCCGTCTTCAGGTGATCCACCAGGATCTGAACTCGGACCCAGGTTGTTGATTTTAGAATATCAACAGGAAACTGTCCATGCAGGCCTGTCGCAATAATCAATAAATCACATGATCAACTAAAACAAACTCCATCGTTTCCATTTGCCTGATTTATTTCTACCAAAAACTGACAATAAGGTCTTCATCTGATGTTTTGGTCTCCTTCTCTCATTCTAACTCATTTGATTTATTTTTGATTTTCAAAAGGTCTTCTAGTTCCAGAGTTAAATGTTTATTAGAACTTAAAAGTTTGATAGAATCTGAGAATGTGTTGTTGCATCGTTATTGTTGTAAAAGCAACTCACTGCTCCTTCATCCTCTGCTGCAGCCTCTTCTTGGACATGACAGACTCTGCACCTCCTTTCATCAGGTTTATACGGTAACGCTGTTTCAAGTCCACCCTGATGCAGACAGACAGAGAGAGAGAGACAGAGAGAGACAGACAGAGAGAGACGCTGTTGAATTTGTTACAGGTGGGAACAGGAAGTCAGTGTTTCATCGCTGGGACTTACTCTTCCTCCAGCTCGTCGTCTTCGTCCACCCAGGCAGCTTTCCTGGGCTGCAGCTGCAGTCGAGGCTCTTCCTCCCCCTCCAAGTCTTCATCCCCACCGCCCTCCTCATCCTCCAGCTGCAGGCCGCTGGTCTGCTCCTCTTCATCCTCCTGCAATAACACACATTTACAGCTGAAGAACGCTGTCTGTGTGTAGTAACTGAAATCAGTAAAATGAAGTCCAGGATAAGACCTGAAGCAGTTTGTGACTAAAAAGTTGAGCTGAATTTTCTTGCAATGAATGACATTTTGACTATGTCGTCACATTTTGCTGTTTAGCGTTGTTTATTGATAAAAGCATCATTTTCTGGATGAGGTCTGCTGAAGCATCAACGTCAAATAAAGACGTTTCTTAAACAGCTTTAAACTGGGTCACTGTTTTATGTCAACACGTTGACTGGGTTATAGAACAAGAAGCGTTTAGGCTAACTTGGTGAAAGTTAGCCCCGGGCTAACGCCGCCATCACCTCCACCAGCCTCCCCAGCAGCTCCTCCTCCGCCCCGAACACCAGCGTCTCCAGCCGCTTCACCGACTCGTCCTGGCCTCCCAGAACCGCGAGCCTCTTCAGGTTCTGCTGCCGCAGCTGCTCCTCTTCCTCCGGGTCCAACGCCGCAGGTCGTCTTCTCTTCTTCGCCGGTGTTGGATCCACGGTCACCGGCAGCTTGATGAGGTTTCCGTCCTCCATGTTTCCCAGCAGAAACCGAGCTGATTTCCAGGTTCTTCTCGAGAGAAGCAGCTTTTCAACACATGGGCTGGAACTGTTTTTCCGCCTCACCACGATCACGTGTTTCCGGAGTCAGCCACTAAAACCAGGGGGAAATGAAACTCTGCCACCATCCGTTCGGGCGGGGAACTGCATGAAGAAAACCACGTCAGTGTGCGGAAACTTGTTTAACTGTCTTCACACCGCGATGTCCTTCCAGACAGCGACGCTCCAAAAACCAAACTTGTTTCCTTTTAATTGCTTATTGAAGCGTGGCCGCTGACCACTGCCTTCACTTCGGCCATCCTAAACTGAACCATGCAAAACACAGGATTAGCTAACGAACGTCACAAATCAGCCATTCTTATTGAAAAAAACTAAACTTCTTCATAAATCACTTAAGCCTACAACTATTCATACCACCGTTACACAAAACAAAGATACAATTATTATTATTTTCATAATCATAATAATTTCTATCTTGTTAGCTTGGTGCTCTTGGGAGCCTCTAGTGGTGTGGAGGCTTAACTTGCACATGCCTAATAGAGCTGTGATGGAAACTGGGTTTCATTAGGGCAAACAGTGAAAAACACTGAAGTTTGAGGCTGAAACGGAACAAAATGTGAAAAATTCATCGCATATTTTGGGCTTAAATAAATGAAAATCTGGTTTAATTATATATTAAGTGAAATATTAAATATAACCAAATGTAAATATTTTTACACCACTAATGGAGCCTTCATTGCTTATTGAGACAAACTTCAACAAAAACTTCTACATGTGTGCAAAA